ATATTAAGAATTAGTGTCTAAGAAATTCTCTATATCTTCTGATTAATGTGTTAATGGGAATAAGCCAACTTCAAATTATTCTGAAGCAAGCGTATTTCCATTAATAATTTCAGTTAAGCAGGATTGTCTAGAATTGAACATACTGTAACAAGTTACAAGACACCTAAATAAAAAGTAACATCATCATATTGCTCCTTGCAACTCTGGTAGTAGGGGGGGAAAAATGGAGGAATTCTCACTAAATAATCAGGTTTTTCCATAACAGCAAGTTGCCACTCCTAGTATCCTAGCAGAATGGCCAATAGAGTATTTAGCATCATAATCAAAGACATTTGACATGTACTGTATTTGGAAAAACTGTAGGCAGTTGTTACATACAATTAAATAGGAAACAAAATGAGGAAGCTCCTTTATTTCCTCAAGTATAATGTCAGTGACGATAGCAATAAGACTTATATACCGTTTCACAGTGCTTTACAGCCCTCTCTAAGCGGTTTACAGAGTCAGTATGTTGTTCTCAACAATCTGGGTCCTCATTTTACCGCTCTCAAAAGAATGGAAGGCTGAATGAATCTTGAGTCGGTGAGAATCGAACTCCTGGCAGTCGGCAGTCGGCAGAATTAGCCTTCAATACTGCATTCTAACCACTGCACTATCGCAGCTCAGAATGGCCAATACAGTATTTAACATCATAGCCAAAGACATTTGACATTTACTGTATTTGGAAAAACTGTAGGCAGTCGATACATACAATTAAATATGCACAAAGTGAGGAAGCTCTGGAACTCAAGATAACACTCCCTTGTTTCCTCAAGTATAACGTCAGTGACTACCATATGTACGTTTGTCCAAATAGCTATGCTATATAGGATCATTAAGAATAGAAATGTGTACATATTAATCTTCAAAGGTTTCAGACATTAAGAAGTATCAAACTTTATACTATGTGCATTGATATAATCACTCTAATGCTTAAGTGTTCACATATTATTGTCGGTTCTTTCAGAAACATTGGACAATGGCAACTATGAAGAAACCACAGATCTGAAAGCTGTAGTACAGGTCACTCTCAACTTACAACAGTTCATTTAGTGACTGTTCGAAGTTTCAACAGCACAGAAAAAAGTGACTTATGACCATTCTTCATAGGGTCATATGATCAAAATACAGACACTTGTCAATTGATTTATGACCATTTATGACAATTGCAGTGTCCTGGGATCAAGTGGTCATCTTTTGTGACCTTCTGACAACCAAAGTCAATGGGGAAGCCAGATTCACTTAACAACCATGTTACTAACTTAACAACTGCAGTGATTCACAACTGTGGCAAGAAAGGTCGTAAAATAGGGCAAAATTCACTTTACAAATGTCTCACTTAGCAACAGAAATTTTGGACTCAATTCTGGTCGTAAGTCGAGGACTACCTGTATTACACTAAAGGAGAAAACAAGTCTTCAATCCTTAAGTAACAGACTGGAGAACCAGGAACTTCACTTAGATCATCAGCTTAAATTTCTTAAACAGTTAAGAGTTTCAGGCAGAGAGCAGTAATGAAAGCAGTGTTAAAATATGACTCTCAGATCAGACTCTCAAGTGCTCAAAAAAAAAAATCACACCCACCTTCTATATTTAATCCACCTGCTACATGGACCCAAATTAAAAATGCTATTGAACATATCTCATCATGTCACCTCACCTATTTCCATTTCCAGATGCCACTCGTCTGCTCTTCCCTACTCCTTTCCCCCACATTACTTCAAATACAGAACAAACATTAGCTAATATCAGTAAGCAAGCATTAGTATACTTATAACCATTTTACACTGAGGAACTTCACTTTGCAAAGTCATTTGCCAATTACTCCAGTGCATTTGCTTCCAGGGCTCATCTTATTACATTCATGTTAGATATTTCCAAGCCATGTTTTATAATTTATAATCATAGGATAACCATTCTTCTATTTTACCCATACTTCACTCATCAATAGATATGCAAAATTAATCTTAGAGCCATTGCATTTTTACTTTATAATCTTCCCCAAGCCACTTGCTTTAGACTGGTTTTCTTCCCCAACTTATAAGCATTCCAATCATTCATAGTAACAAATACATGTTATTTCCACTCTTATTAAACTTTAGAAGTTACAATTCCATCATAACTATAGTCTAAAATAAATGCAAATCTATTGTTACTGGCTTATAATACTAATTTAAATTGTTTTCCTTCATCTTTGGCATGAACAGCAACTAGCCTGAAAATGAATAAAAAAAGAAATCATATAATTTTCAACACAGAAAAAAAGTGAACATTTTAGGACAATTTTGGCTAACTAAAAAAAATGCTGCCATTTCTTTTAAGCTTCATATTAAAAACAATGAACTGTCAAAATATGCTTTTAAATTTTCTTAAGAAATGTGGCAACCTGTGCCTCATGAATTCACGAATAAAAATAGATACACCAGTATCTATACATCAATACTATAAACTGGAATCGTTTTATATTCTTATTCTACACAAGGTTGATTTTATTCTTAAAGTTGCCACATTAGATACATTGTTTTGGCTGTTTAGATTTAAAGTAGAACACATTGAAAGGAAACAAACAAAAATCTCTTGTTTGGAAGAACTAGTATTATCTGGGAAGGGACATTGTTGCAATTCTGGGGGAAAAAATACTGCCTTCTATTCACTTCCTAGAGCTAAGTGTTTCACAAGGCAAACCTGTGAGCTAAACAGCACCCGTGGCAAGGCTTACAAGTTTTACACCATTTTTATACACTAAGCCAGAAAGACAATACCAAACTATCAGCACCCATTGAAAGAAAACGCCTACTGCCACTCATTAAACACTTAATAAAGACAGAATTATTTCTAAACAAGTGGGTTCTCAATCACCAACAGCACTTACATAAGTAGGAACAATGTTTTGCAATGAAATAAAAAGAACTCTATTACTTTGTCATGTTTTTTCCTGGCAAAAAAAAATCAAGCTTCATTTTTTTAAAAAAATGAATACTATAATGTTGCTTTTTTTTTAAAAAAAAAAAAGTATTGACAATAAAATTGAAAAATTAAATTGCTTGGCAAGCATGAGAAAATGTTTCCATGGTTGTCTTCTCCCAGTGGACCAAAACAGGTATCTCTATTGATGTTACAGAATGTGGATAAATATTTCCAGCTAGACTTTGCCACTCTGGTCAAAGCCAGCTCAAAATTTTAAGTAAAAACAAAAAGAGCAATGTACTCCCGTTTACTGATGAGAAAGCATCCCTTCCATTTCATCTTCCATAATGTGAGCCTAAGCCCTAAATTCGAAAGAGATTCTCCTGCTCAACCCATTAAATGCTTCCCTTACCATCCACATTTCACACCCGTGCAAACTAAGAATTAAAAATATCCAAAACTTAGTCTCAGCATCTGATAGTTCTATTTGACAATAGAAATTTTAAGTAAAAAAACCACACACTGCTAATACAACATCACTCCCAAGTATCATACCATCAACACGAAACAGACCTTTCCACAAACTGTATTATCATTTGCTTTTTATATTATAGTTTTACACATCTATATCCTTTTTACGTTATGGAATGGAGGCTGGTTATACGTTTTTGTGTGTGACTCTTCGCAACCTCATAGACAAATGGTGGTGGGGGTAAAGTGGGAAAAATAAGGATATCGCCAAGAGAGTATATGGAGGAATTGACAGCCTGTGAGAGGGAACCAGGGTATATATAAGAAAAAGACATTTTTCCTCATTCTAAAGAGCTAATACTAGGAAGATTGCCATTTACATAACTTATTCCGACATTTCTCTTACTCGCCAACCTCACTACTTCCTAAAAAAAAAAATAAACCCTGAAAAACCAGACAAGATGGCATGAATTAAATAAAAAAAATGAAAAGCCTACTTCTGACATCTTAATATGCTTGTAAACTGCCTTGAACATCTTGTCCTGTACAGTAAAACAAGAAATGAAGAGGTGCAGAAAACAATGTTCCCAATCTCTAACAGATTCCAGGGGGGGGGGGAGGCGGAGTGTAAAAAAAAAGAAATTAAAAAAAATCCAAAACATTCTGGTTGTATACACAAAACACACAACCTCTGGAAGAAGTACATTTCAGCCCTTAATTCTCGCCACTCCACATTCTGCTAAGCATACAAAAAAAGAATATTCCCCCCCACCAAAAAAAGAGTGAAAAATCCGAATACAGGTCAATTCAATTGCAATAACGATAGAAAACACACATGGCCCACGTCTCTAATCTAGAGAGAATCAAATAACTGCACCTTAAAGGGCGCCCTGCACCCCACATTCACACCAACGGGTTGCCACGCATCTCTATTAGGCTTCAACACCCCCCCCCAACATATCGCAGGTGTTTACAAACATGTGGATGCAGATGCGATGCCCCCCCCTTCCTTCCTTCCTTCCTCTTGTGAATACGGCCCTAAAACCCGTCCTAAACCCCCCCCACCCCCCCAACGCAAATATCCGTTCAGACGACGCCCAGGGACACGCGTGCATGCACGCCTGTGCCCTTCGGACATGCCCGCTAGCCCAGAGCACCCCCCCCCGCCGCCCGTCCCCATCCACCCCCCCGCACGGCCAGCATCCTCCGTTAAGCCCTCCCGACTCCCAGCAGACACGGGTCCGGCCATTCCCACGTTAAAGGGCGAGAAGAGGGGGTTCCTACCCCGCGCGTCGGGATGGAAGTGGAGAGAGACAAGCGGCTGTTTCCATCCCAGAGCGAAGTTTGAGAGGGGGGGGGGACTTGCTGGCTTTCCGGCCCTCCCCTCCCGCCGCCCCTCCCCCCCCCCAGGGCCCCCCAAGGCGAGGCCGTTAACTCCGGTCCTAACTCGGGAAGACTTGAGGGGAGGCAACGACCAGCCCCCACTTCTGAGGGGGCTTGGCGGCCCTGACTCTTCGCAGCCCCCAGCCCCCCAGCCTTTGGGGCCCGGCTTCCCTCCTCCCCGGGAAAGCCGCCAGACTCACCCATCCGCCGCTTCAGCCGCCGCTTCTGCCGCCTCCTGGTCGCCGCCGCCGCCGCCTCCTCAGCCGAGTCTCCTCCGGAGACACTGACACGGGCGCACGGATATCCACGGGGCGCTATTTTTAGGCGACGCGGCCGGAACTGCTTTCGCTCCTCCCCGCCCCCCCCTCCTCCCTCCCTCCGTTCGCTTCAAGGTTCTCCGACAGGGGTAGGACGGCTCACTGCCGCTTTCACGTCCGTGTTCTTCCGCGGGTCTTTCTCATGACCAAGCCTGGCCCGGCCTAGTTTGACACCGTGAGGGGGCTGGGAGGGAGCTTCGGAGGGGGGGGGGAGGCGGCCGGACTCCTCCGCGGATATTCCTGCGCTGACTTTTTTTTCTGTTTTTTCTCCCGCTTTTGAAAGTCCCTCACTTCCCACCCAACCCCCGCTTTCCCCGGCTTGGAACGACATTTACTTAACAGGAGGGGGGGGGAGCGGCCCGGCCTGTGACGTTGCCCGTGACGTCAGAGCGCGAAGGCACGAGCGGATAGGGCGGTGGGCGGGAGCGGAGGCAGCGAGGATCCAATCAAGGCATGACGTACGGGAGCGAGGAGCGATGGGCTAATCGTGGAAATGTTGATAGGTGGATCCCCATTCCTTTGCTGGGCAGGACGCGCCGCCAATCAGAGTGCTGCAAACCGGATAAGAGCAAACCAATCAGAGCTAGGAGGAGGCGGGTACTGCTCGAAGGGACCTTGGCTGCGAAACGGAGAGTGGAAACGATCGCGCGCGTGCGCACAAAGCCCCTTCCTCTTTTTCCTTAAGGGAACGAATGACGCAGACGCGAGAACGGATGAGCGCATGCGCAGAAGTGGCTCGTCGTCTCTCAGCAGTGTCTTCCTACGGAGGAGGCCTATTTCGCGGGCTCCAGTTTGTTGCCAGCTTTTCTTTTTGCACAGCGCCGTTAAAACTCGCCGTGCACGCATCAAATCACTCCTTTACACGCTCCTCATCCACAGGCCTCGGGGAGACATGGAAAGCGGCCGCTGGGAGAGAAGAAGCGTGATTGGTTGAAAGGCGTCTTAAGAAGCCGCTGTCAGCCAATCACGGTCCTCCTATGAGCACGCGTTCTACGAGTCCCGCCTACTCACTCTATATATGTACATAATTGTTAAATGAAAATACAAAAAATACAAAATTTAGGGAGGGGAAAGGGTAAAATAAAAAGTGAAAAAAGCAACAGAATCAGAGAGGAAAAATAAATGGCTTCCTGTCTTCTTTACAATAGTTACAAATTAATTATCCTTTTCTATTTAAAATTTTAATTTCTGTACACAGATTCTTTCTATCCCATATTTAACTCTTCAGTAGGGAAACCCAGAACTCATCATTTCACTTTTTTTCCTTCCTCAGGAGAAAGTCCATAAAAGATTTCCAGTCTTTTATAAAGTTCAATTTTTGCCATGTCTGCTAATAATTCTGTCCTCTTCACAACCCTTTAAGCCACCACTGTGGGTACCGAATTTCAATTATTTCTCTATCCATATGCATATAGTAATCTTACCATAAATAAAATCAATCTTCCATCAAGTCTCTAATTGATTATTCATAAGTCCCAATAAAAACAGTCCCTCCCACTCCGGAGGGATTCATAAGAGCACAAATGTGTAAATGCTGATGTGGACCTTAAGGATGGAAGAAATTGCAACGCCAATTTCACACGGAAGCAATACTTTTCTCCTGCCATCAGACTGCAGGCGGATGTCTGAGTTTCCAACAACTCTGAAGAATTTCTGGGAACTCCCAGGTTTGCATGCAACATTGCTAAATCTTGATCTAGCCAGGTGGAGTTTTCTTGTCTTGACTGACTTGCAGTTCAATTGACATGACCTATATTTACACTGGCGATATGCCCCATTATTATGAAGGGTAGCCCTTTATTTCAAAAACCTGAGCTTTAATGTATTTATTTTTTATACATTAATGTTATTTTTGTCCTTTATTTTTTTCACCCTTATAAATCTCTTTCAAATTAGCCCCCCTTTTCAGGCTCGTTTAGGGTTGCCAGGTCTGCTTCCAAAAAATAGCGGACAAGCGGGGGGGGGGTGTTAAGTAAAAAAAAGTAGACTGTACAGCTTTAGATTACGTACCATTTCATCATAAAGCTTTTGAATAAAAAAATGTCCACTATTTTGTGAAAAAAAATAGTGAACATAATGTGAAAAAAGCGGACTGTCCGCTCAAATAGTGGACACCTGGCAACCCTAGGCTCGTTCTTTATTTTATCCAAGAAAATGTAGTCAATACTGTTCTAGGCAGGTACTCTTCAATTTATGACCACCATTGAGCCCAAAATTTCTGTTGCTAAGTGAGTTAGTTGTTAACTGAATTTTGCCCCATTTTACAAACTTTCTTGCCATAGTTGTTAAGTGAATCATTGAAGTCCAGTTAATATTGCATCCAGTTCTGTTCATCACAGTACAAGATTGCCCTAGGAAGATTACAGAGAAGAGCAACAAAGACAATAAGGCAGTGGTGGGATTCATCTGTGTGAACAACCGGTTCTCTGTGTGGATGTCGCTTCCGGAAGTCCATTCTGGGCCTGGGCAACAAAACATTAGCTACTGGTTCTGCCGAAATGGTCTGAACTGGCTGAATCCCACCACTGCAATAAGGGGTCCAAAGGCTAAATCCTATGAAGAACAACTGGAGGGACAGCTTAGCTTAATGAAAAGAAGGCTGAGGGGAGCTACGATAGCAACCTTCCAATACTTGAAGGGCTGATGTCAATTTATTCTCGATAGCACCTGAGGGTAGGACAAGAAGCAACAGGTGGAAGCTCGTCAGAGGAAAGGGCAATCGGGAAATAAGGAGGAATTTCCTGATCGTAAGAATGATTAATCAATGGGAACAGCTTGTCTCCCAGAATTGTGGGTGCTCCATCACTGGAGAATTTCAAGAAAAGATTGGACAACCATTTCTCCGCAATGGTGTGAAAACTCCTGCTGTGGGCAGGGGGTTGGACTAGAAGACCTCCAAGGTCCCTTCAAGCCCTACAATTCTACTTATAGTCCCCATAATTTGGTCCCTTTTTTTGAGGTCGCTTTAATATCCAAGAATAATTTGGTCACAGGATTTTATCTAACGTTTTCGCATTTTTAGTCCTGCCTTCTTTTCTATATCATAGTAAAGCTGTTAAGGGATGAATATGACTATCCTTAGTATCTCCAGATGTAATACCCAGAGGATTAGCCAATTGTATAATAATGGCAGGCCCCGTTTCTACCTGGATGATATTATTGTTCTCCCCTAAGGTCTTTTCTAGGTAGTTTTCTACCAGATATAAATAATTTTAATGAACTCTGACAACAAAGCACCTGGCAATATTATAATCGGGGTATTTCCCATTGCGCTCCCATTAGAAAACGTTTTTCTGAGTCATCCTCAGTAAACACTCACATTCAAATAATGTTTGAAGTGGGTGTGCTCCCTTCTATTCTCATAATAGATAAAGCAAGTCTGAGCTGCATTCTTGGGCCCAGTGTGAATACTGGGAGGGATATTACGACGTGGTATCACCATAGCATGCAAGCTAACTAAAGCTCTCCAAAATATCTTAAGTAAATCAAACAACCCAGGAGTAGACCAAAAAAAAAAAAGGAGTCATCTACAGCCTAGAATGTAAAGACTCTAACAGCTCCTGTCTAAGACAGACAGACAGAAGATTAGCAGAGCTGCATCCATGAACGCCAACTAGTATCAGAAAGCACAATGAAAGCTGCTTAATTTCACAACACATGGACAGACTTAACATAGTTTCAACGGGTAAACTGTGAGCAACTAAATTTAAAACATGCCAGGGGATTTCTGGAAGCTAGGCATTCAGAAAAATCAGCCATCAACAAGCACAGAGAGATAGACGACACTTACCCATCATTTGAAACAGACAATTAAAAAAGGCTAAAAAAAAGGAAACAAAAAGACCAGAACATCTTGCCAGCAATCAACCCCCAGATAAACAGGGATTAACATCAGACTTACTACCAAACAGTAAACAATACCCTCATCAAAGAACTACCAACTCCAACAGACAACCCAGCAGTAAACAACAGCCTCATGATGGAACTACCAAGGAGAAAATAAGACTCGCACCAACTCTGATAGAGTAACCCCTCTCCCTTCTAATCTGATAACAAAAGGTCTGCAAGCAAACAGTCAAGCTTAGAGAGGCACCAAGGACTTCATAGTATAACCCTGTAGATCTCAGAAGTGTGCAGGTTTTAGAAGTGGAAAGATATACCAAATATACATCCTTCCACCTTTCCTTGCTAAGGTCTGCCAAGGGTGCTTTTAAGATAACCTAAAGTCTGCAAACAGCCCAGTATGATGCATTCCACTTTTAACCGCTTTTCCAAAGTTGTCACGGGGGAAGAGCCATTTCTTTTAAAGTGTTGCATACAGAGATTTATATAGAACTAAGGAATTCCCCAAGTGTGACACAGCTTCTGTGATTTTGAAGGGTGGCTCCACTTTCGTTTAAAGTGACAGTTGCCCATATCACCTGAGCTCCTTACAAGAAGTAACACAATTGCCTCTACCCACACACTGGCTTTATAATTATCCATTGCACCGTCTCTCCATGTCTTTTAAAAAGCCCACTTCGTTCTGATTTGTTATGCACTCATCTCTTCTTAGCCACCTTCAATGTGGGTTGAAAATATCTAAGATTTAAACAGCTTCGGAACAATTTATTGTGGGCCATGGGCGTTGACTCTTAGCAACCACCTACTGTAGATAGATTTTCTCCATCATGATCTGTTCCTAATTTGGTCCGTCATGTTCACATTGCTACTCTGAGTCCATCCACATGACTGACAATGTCTATAGACCAGGGGTCCCAAACCCCCAGTCTGTGGACTAGTATCGGGCTGCAGCATGCCAGCAACCGGTCCGCACAAACAAGCAGAGCCCCATCTGTGGGATGCAGGCAGCACACAAAACCACACACTCTCCGGTCCGTGGAAAAACCTCTCTCCATGGAACCG